ATATATCAAGAACTATGTAATGTTTTGAACAACCAACAATAAAAAATTTTTAAAAATACCCTTCACCTCTTATGAACATATGTCCATATATAAAAAATAGGTTGTCCTGCAATCTGTACATGTGGAAAAATAAGAATTCATACACCCTTTGAATCAAATGTATGATATGTCAAGATCATTGTATTGTCTTGAGCAACTAATGAAAAAATGTAGGTTGTAAACTTGAGAACTTCAGCTCTGGTTAATTAATATCATACTATAGCTATAGAGTACGAATTTGACACCCTGGACCAGGGGTTCCAGAAGGCCCTCAAGCTAAATAGATCATGTTGCTCATTTCTGAGTTAAGAAGGGGCCTTATATTGCTATGCATAGTGCTCTGGTAAAACCAGGTTGGGGAAAGTAAGTTTGGGCCAAGGCCTAAGTGGACCTTTCTACTTTAAGTGAGTATAATTCTTGAAATCTGTTGAATCAACAGGGGAAACTCTAGCACTCGGCTAAATAGGTCCTGTTTCCATTTTTTGTAGTTTTAAGTCCATTTGTGTGTTGCCTGTGAGCTTCTTTCATGCTACAATGCAGAGTCAATTGGTTGCCACAGAGATTATATGGCCTGCAAAACCTAAAATAGTTACTAATTCTTTAGATAAAAAGTTTATTGACTTCCTTGTCAAGAACTAGGGTGTTGATAGTAGCAGCTACTAGGCACAGGTGGCTATTTAAATTGAAATTTAAGTTAATTAAAATAAAATGAAAATTTACTCCCTTAGTCTCATTTGCCCCATTTCTAGTGCCCAGTAGCCATGTGTGGCTAATGGGTACCAAACTGACAGCAGAGAGAGAGAAAATTTCTATTATCACAGAGTCGTGTTAGATAGCAATGGTCTAGAACCTGAAGGTATAGGCACAGGAGAAAGTGATATAAAGAAGCTCAGGAGATCAAATAAATGTTGTCCTATTGTGAAGATGGAGGCAAATCTGTGGCTCCATTAGGTAAACTAACAACAGAGGAGCACAAGTGATGTGATAGTGGGAACATATTGCAGACCCTACACCCAGAGGGAGGAAAAGGATATTGTACTTACTTTAATGGGTAGTGAAGAGAGTTTTGTGTTATCACAACTGTATTACTGCTAGCAGCTCACAAATGTCTGTTTTCTGGTCTAATGCTTATTCTGACCTCCTCTAACTCTGTGAAGACTAACAGTTTTGTTTTCAAGGAGATTTAGCAAAATTAGATTTAATTTAGTTAGTACTATGCAAGTGACCTTAAATTTCTGTGCAGAGTGCTCTGGTGAAGCTTAGTTGGAAATGTAAAGTTTGGGCCAAAGTCTAAGTGGGCCTTTCTTTACTAAAATGAATCTATTTCTTGGACCCATGGACTCAAAAGGATCTCCAGGAGGATATGAAGAAGAGAACTGAGGAAAGGGCTTGAATTCTACTTAGTCACATAGAATGGGGATGTAGAGAAAAGGTCAATGTGGGTGTTCACTTGAAAGGCAGCTGGTTTTGGTCCATTCAGTTCAGCAACTGCCTCTCCCTTGTGAAGGAGAACCTCACTGTTTTTTTGAATTATGGGATCTAATCCATTTGTGGATTTTTAAATTGACATAGGTAGAGGTAACTAGCCAATTTTAAAAGATGAATTAGAAAAAAATATAAAGTATCAAAGTACATCTCACAGTAAGGAGAAATTTGTGTCGACTTGTACTCACACACACGTTCTTATATACTGGGTTGTGAAATGTATTTACTACTTTGATCATAGAAGAAATATTTGAAAGTCACTTATCCTATCCAACCAAACATCATGTGATACATTAATCCCTTTTACAAATTCCTAAGAAGTGAAAATTCAACCTTACGGTTAGTATTTTCAGTGTGATAACTGAATTAAATATTTTACCCGAGGAAGATTTAAAGAAAATGTAAATACTCAGCCTGAGAGGGAGAAAATAATTTACAACATTCACAAAAAATTATTTTCATGTATTCAAAGATTATCATGTGGAAGAAAACCAAAGAGAGAAAGTTTTAGAGAAGCAGGCTTTGCTTTTCTTGTAAGGAGAACTTTTTAACAGTTATTCTTTCTGCCTGTTGGACCCAACCACATGAGAACACACCACCTTGTCTGAAAGAAATCACCGTTACCTTCATTGTGTGCGGCCCCTTCAGCGTAAGCAGGTTATCATTTCAAAGTATTGCCATCCACATATCACCCAGTCTATCCATTTTGGGGTTCTACAATCCACTCTTCTTCCTGGTCTTCCATCTCTCTGTCATTATTTACCGTGTTCGGCTGTGGTACTTCTGTATTGCTTCTTATCCCTTTATCCTATCACTTGCCCTCTCCATCTCTCCCCTCGCGCTCATTCCTCTGCTTCATCGTTCCTGTTGCCTCCAGTGGCATCTTTCTCACACCTATATTCTGGTCAGGCCCCTTATAACCGGTGGTTTCCTATTTTCTCCAGAATACATTCCAGACTCTTTATCATACTTTTCCAGTCCCTTCTTTCCAAACCATGTCTCTTACTTTCCTCCTACAGGTCTTTAAGTCTTTGCTGCCAGTCAGTGCTCTTACCAGTTGCTGGACAGGATGGTTGGCTTTCTGCCTCTTCCCTTTGTGATCATGCTGTTCCCCTTGCAGGGATGCCTTATCTTCCCACCCTTCCCCGCCAGGTGAAATCTTTCAAGTGAAATGTTATTTCTTGACGGAAACTCTCTCTGATCAGCTCCAGATAATTCCCTGCAACAGAATGAAATGATTTCTTTGGTTTATGGCATTTGCCAATAACCTCTGCGGTGGCACTTATTTTATCGAGTGGCTGTGTGCCACCTGGTGTGTATTGAGACTCTGCACAGCAACCCTGAAAATCAAGAGATTGGTGAACTATCGTGTTGTCACAGAGTGATGCCAAGAATTTTGGCTCTGAAGTCGGAGGGACCCAAGTCTATTTCCAGTCCCACCTCTAGAATGATATAATCAGAGGCAATATATATTATCTTTCTGGACCTCTGTTTTCTCATTAGCAAAATTAGCCCAAATATGGAAGCTGTCTCACTGGCTTGTGGTAAGGATGAGTGGAAAGAATTCTAGAGAGTTCTTGCATTTGACCTGGACACCTGGTAATCACTTAGTGGCCATTAACTGGTGGCAACTCCTTTTTATTTTTCTCAGGGTTGTGTCCCACAGTACTCATGTTATGTCACAGAAAGCAGAGCATTTCCTTGCAACCTGCAACCCTTGTTTCTCTAGGAAAACATGAGCTACGTATGCTGAGCTATATATCCTGATGATAAACATTTGACTTTATTTTGAATCTGAGGATAGTCTACAATTGTGGTCCTGAAAAATCTCTAACAGAACTTCACCAGTGCATGTTCACCAAATAAAATTATGAGTAGAATTTTTGTCCAAATCATAGAAAAAATAGCAAATGGATAGACTGCCTTGATATTACTTTAAAATTTTTTTTCTCCATTTTTAATCAGAAACTGCCTGTTTCTACTAAACTCTAGCTTGAAAAAATAGTACATTATTATTAGTGGACACTAGAAAGTAGCCTGTTAAACTAACATTACAATATTGTGTTTTGCTGCTGCTACTATATAGTTAATATAACACAGTACATAGAAAATAATATGATATAACATAATAAAATATACTACACTTATTCCTCTTTTCCAACACAACATAGATGAGTTGAGACTATTGGTGTTTCTTTCAGACAAGGTGGTGTGTTTTCATGTGGTCGGGTCTAACAGGCAGAAAGAATAACTGTTCAAAAGTTCTCCTTACAAGAAAAGCAAAGCCTGCTTCTCTAAAACTTTCACTCTTTGGTTCTTTCTTCCACATGATAATCTTTGAATACGTGATGTTTCCTTGTTTTTCAGAGTATTGTGTCCTACTAGAAGAATATTACCTAAAGTTTGAGAAGCTGAGATATACTGCCTATAAAACAAAAAGGATGTTTCATAATACAAAATTTATAAGCTGAAGTATAATTTTAAAGCTTTGAAAATGTATATTTAGTTTATTTCATATTTTTAAATTATAGCATGGTTTTTTTTTGTTTTGTACAGCATATGATGTTCATATATAGCTTTAAGAGAAATCACTGTCCTTTCTAAGGTTTAATGTTTTGCTTTAAGGTTGATTAATCATACAAAGAAACTAATGGAGAAAGAAGAAAAACTCTGCATTAAAATTCTTCAGACATTACGAGAAATGCTAGAGAAGAGAGACAGCTTTGTGGAAGAGGTATTTTTTAAAAAAATCTTTTAGTATATAAATGAAGTAAGATTTCCCTAGTGCTATAATCTATGGATTACAATAGGCTATTATATGATCACTTATATATTAATGGTATAAGTACTTATATGAATTAGATAATTTGATTTTATATGGTATTCATCTCTCATGTTTTGTTTAGAGTTGAGAAATAACTAAAATTAGAGTGGCCTGAATATTTGGTTGATTTGGTTTAATATAGTCTGCCTTCATTATGTATGTTTTCTCCTTTTGATTTCAGGAGACCAAATGAGCTTTTTAAACAATGAGTTATGGCATTATTTAGATTTCACATAAAGTTCTGACGTTTATTGAGAATGTCTGTGCATTTTGGCATCTGTTGATTTTTTAAAGATTATACTTATTATTTTTTATATTATACCAAATATTATAAAATAGTGCTTTTTAATAATTGGAGTAGTAAGTTTCTATTCTTAACTGTATTAAGTACTGCACAGATGATTCTCAGAGAAATAGCACCTTATAGATAATAATTGTCAGTCTATTATTAAAAATGACAGCTCAGGTGCTCATTAAGAGGTAGCTAGCAGCATGTTTAATACCCAAGGTGATAAAATATAAGTCTAGAGAAGTTTTTTAAGCTAATCTCTCAATACTTTTATTTAGATATCAAACAAAATTGTACTATGCTTCTTAATAATTTTTTGGTCTGTTTCTATAAATACTAATCATCTGTATTTTAAAATTTCAAGGATTATGTTTATTAACTTATGTATATTCTAATTCTGAAAAGATTGTAGTGTTTTTTTAAATGCATTTCTGTAGAAATGAAAGGCTGTGGAATCTTGGTTACTAAAAGGAGGACTGTTGCCTCAAAATATTCCATTTGAATCTGATGTTTGCATCAGTAATCAAAATGCCTTCTCTTTTGCAATAGCTTCTTGTCATCATTCAAACTATATTTGTGAAACAAGTTATCAAAATAAAGGGGTCAATGCAACTTTAGCAAATGTTTCTCTGACCCAGGACTCAAGAAAATGCTTACAAATTTGAGTATATGTTTATATAAGTAGAGTTCCTTGGGATTTTTTGTTGTCTTTGATTCCTTGAGATACTGCTATAGATTATTTGATCTTGAATGAAATGCTAGGTCATAGAGTGAAAAATTAGGTCAATGTGAGTGTTTGGAGCTTTACAGTAGTAATATCTTATATATAAGCAAAGAGACATGGCACAGCTTCCAATTACGTATATGAATTGGAAGTGAATCTCACGATTGGGTACATCCAAAAGAAATTAATTAAAAAATAACTATGGATAAATGGCAGAAAGATCAATAGAGGGAAGGGAGTGGGAGTAGAGAGAGGAGGAGGAAGGAGAGGCTCTGGGATCTGAATTAGAACAAGATATACTCTATGTTTTTATAATTATGTCAAAATGGATTCTCCTGTCATATATAACTATAAAGAACCAATAAAAAAGAACATTATTGAATTACTCTAAGAAAATAGAGAAGAAATCAAGTAAGATTTTACGTTGAGTAGTCAAGAGTGTCTTAGTGTAAGCATAGTCAGCTTTTACAAATTTTGTATTCTGATATTTAAAAAGGTTAGTACACTTTGTTCAAGAAACAAATTTATGGATCCAAATAGTTAGATATAGGCAGACAGAACATAAGACAGAATATTGCATTCAAAACAGGTCAAGTTTCAGATAGACCTCTAAGATAATTAAAGTTGGGGGAAATGCAGTCATTTAACTAATAGAAAAAATCTGGGAAATGACTTGTAAGTGTCCTATAAGGATAGAGTAGGAAAAAAATGCAGATGAAAGAATTCTAATTCTTAGACACACCTTGTTTCTAAGTGTTTTGGAAGGAGAAGCATTTTTTTTTTGTAGTTGTAGATAGACAGCATACCTTTTTTTAGTTTTATTGATTTTATGTTTTTTAAAAACACAACAGTGGAATGCATTACAATCCTTATTACACATATAGAGTACAGTTTTTCATATCTTTGTATATAGAGTATATTCACACCAATTCATGCCTTTATACATGTACTTTTTTTTTTGTATTACAATTCTTATTACACATATATATCACAATTTTTCATATCTGTTTATATAAAAAGTACGTTGACACCCAATTCGAGTTTTCATACATGTATTTTGGATAATGGTGTCCATCACATTCCACCACCCTTGCTAATCCCCTGCCCCCTCCCTTTCCTTCCCACCCCTCTTCCCTATCTAGAATTCATCTAATCCTCCCATGCTCCCCTTCCCTACCCCACTATAAGTCAGCCTCCTTATATCAGAGAAAACATTCGGCATTTGTTTTTTGGGGATTGGCTAACTTCACTTAGCATTATCTTCTCCAATGCCATCCATTTACCTGCAAATGCCATGATTTTATTCTCTTTTAATGCTGAGTAATATTCCATTGTGTATATGTACCATAATTTCTTTATCCATTCATCTACTGAAGGACAGATAAGTTGGTTCCACAGTTTAGCTATTGTGAATTGAGCTGCTATAAACATTGATGTAGCTGCATCACTGTAGTATGCTGTTTTTAAATCATTTTGGCTATAGACGGAGGAGTAGGATAGCTGGGTCAAATGGTGGTTCTATTTCAAGTTTTTTTTTTTTGTCTCCTCCTCCTCCTCCTCTTCCTCCTCCTCCTCCTCCTCCTCCTCTTCCTCCTCCTCCTCCTCCTCCTCCTTCTTCTTTTGCATTATAATTCTTATTACACATATATACCACAGTTTTTCATATCTCTGTTTGTATATAAAGTATGCTGACACCTAATTCATGTCTTCATACATGTGGAATGTGATGGACATCATTATCCAAAGGACAGCATGCCTTTATTTTGTTTGTTTCATTTTTTATGTGCCACTAAGGATCAAACCCAGTGCCTCACAGTCTAGGCAAGTGCTCTACCACTGAGCTACAACCCCAGCCCCAGGAGAAACATTTCTACTAGTAGAAGCCGAAGATATCCCTGCTGGAAGTTCTTAAGGAAAGAATATTAAATCTAGAACAATTCAAATATCTGTACTGTGGAAGAAGAGATAGGTCTAGAAGATCTCTAGGTAGTGACAGTTGGCCCTCTTTAAATGCTCAGTGCCCAATTGCCTGTGCCAGTGGAGGGGAGTGTAATGAATAGGTCTTGATGAAAGCATTCTGGGTAGGACTCAGAAAGTGGTCAAAGCTATGGTGGGCTCTAAGAAAAACCTGATTTTCAGTAATGGGATAATAGGTGGTTGTATTTTCAACTTATTCGGTAGCTTAAAAACCACACAAATTCATTATCTTACAGACTTGGAGGTCAAAGGTTAAAATCAAGAAGTCAGCAGAGGTGTGTTGCCTCTGGAGATTCTAGAGGAGAGTTCATTTCCTAGGCTTTTCCAGCCTCTAGAGGCCTCCTGCATGCCTTAGTTCATGGGCCCTTCCTCCATCTTCAAAGCCAGCAGTGTAGCAGCTTCCAGTTTTCTTCCCCCTTGTTCTCTCCTCCGCCCCTCCCTCAACTGTCACATCTCCCCCTCTGGCACCTTTGTCTCCCTTTTTTAAGACCTGTGATTACATTGGAACCACACGAACAATCCAGTATACTCTCCCCTGTCAAGATTCTTTCTTCCTTCCTTCCTTCCTTCCTTCCTTCCTTCCTTCCTTCCTTCCTTTCTTCTTTTCTTCCTTTCTTTCTTTTTGCTATTTTTAAAATTTTTTTATTTGTTTTAATGAGTTACACATGACAGTACAATGACCTTGACATATCATACATTTGAATCAGATGGGATATAATGTCTCATTTTTCTGAGTATACAGGTTGCAGAATCACATTGGTCATGCATTCACATATATACACACAGTAATAATAATGTCTGTTTCATTCTACTATCCTTCCTATCTCCCCAACCCCTCCCCTCCCCTCCCATCACTTCTCTCTACCTAATCTAGGGTAACGCTATTCTTTTTTTTTAATTAATCATGTATGCAAAATCCCTTTGCCATGTAGGGAAACAGGTTTGCAGATTCTGGGACAAGGAAGGGGATCCTGAGGACATGACCATCTTTGGGGAGGGCATGATTCAGTCCACCACGGTGATCCTTCTACTGACAGTGAGAACTTTCATCTAGAATATAGATTCAGTGCTTACCTGTGGCTGATGAAAATTACTATGTAGGGCAGTTTAAATGAATATGACAAAAAGTGTTTTGAATTGATACTCCTTTGCTGTCTTCAAAATATTTAAAAATATTTTGCTACCTTTCGACAATTCAGGAGAGTACATAGAGCAGGCAGTGTTACCTCCTCATGGCAAATAGAGAAAGAGAGATGCAGAGAGGTAAGCTATGTTAATCACATAAGTTCCCAAATTCCTGGTCCTCTAACACCTCATCAACTGGATTTCTATTATTTGTGTATGGAAGCGTTCCCCAAAGGTTTCTCTGAATTAAATCAACACAGAAAACTCAAATCGGTGTTTTTCATTTTAGCTCTCCTATTACATTTAAACTCTACCTATTTAAATGTAAAAATGTCAGTTGAAAAGAAAATCTCCATTTTTATTTCCTTGGTTCCTCTGGAGTTATAGGTAGAAACAAACTCAGTTTCTCCTTATAGCTACTCTAGCAACACACTTCTGACACCAAGTGTGCATGGCGTTTTACCCACCCAGCAAGCAAGCAGTGCTGTAGCATCAATTAAATTCTGATACCGTCTACCTGGGGATAACGTGAGATCCCAGAGTTTGAGGGCTCAGTCCCCAAGACTGCTCCCTCTTCAGGAGCCACTTACAAGCCCCAACTTGTTTTACCTACTTCTGACCAACAAGATATAAACTTGGGTTTCTATTACTCCCTCCTTAGGTTCGATTAATTTGCTAGAGCCCCTTATAGAATTCAGGGAAATGTTTGCATTTACTGGTTTATTGTAAAGGCTATTACAAAGGATACAGATGAACAGCTCAGTGGAAGATGCACAAGACCAGGCATAAGAAACG